AATGCGGACAGGCTTGTCGTTGCACTTCCTCGTCCAACTTGTGTAGTGACGTGTAATGGCGCCGGGTTCCGTTCATTTCAAGGTTTCCATGCGTCGTTCGCTTTTGCGCAAACTTCATTTCTGATTTATCACAAGGTTTTGATGGCTTATGCTTCTCCATTAAATGGTTCAGTAAAATACCACCTGTATGAATTCTTATTTCAAGTTTTTCCATTTTTATGAGATGTGAACTAATTTCTTTGTCATTCTATACAATACAGTAAATTTTATGGTAATGTCTGTCATTGTATCTTTTAGGCGCTGTCTCGTGCTGTGATTATTTTGTGTTTTCTTTTAGCTTTCCTATTCCGGTGACAGAACTCGCTTCCCTCAAAAATTATCGATTTAACGTGAATTCAATTACAATAATATCCATAACTTTCAGTCACCGAAATGGTAACAAAAACGAAGAAGAAGAGCACTCCTCGAAAATCTGCGGTATCTCCCACTAAAGAAAAGAAAGTAGATTTTAACGGAGCCGGGTTGAAGACAAGCACGAGCAAGTTCGTATTCTTAGCAGAATTTTTAGCTTACTGTGGGTCAACTCTAATTTTCCTCTTTCAGTGGCCATTTCAAAAATGGTGGACTCAGGCCGTCACCATCGACAAACACATTAAATCGACTTGCACGAGAGAAGATTGTTTTATGGAAGCAACCATTGACAACTACCTATTATGCTTTTATGGAAGTGCTCAACTTAACGTATGAGTTTATCACGGGGTAAGGATATTTTCATTTATTTTGCATCACCTTCCATATATGGACCTTGATAAACAAGTTCTTAATTATGACTTTTCAGGATGCTTCACCAAAAAACTTTGTTGTTAGCGATATCCATATTTAGTGCGCTTATCTATTATGCATATATAACTCCTGGTCCACATCAAGATTATATCGCCGTTATAGAAAAGAAATGTGCATGGTGAGTTAAATTGCGTTTTTAATATTGACTACCCCTTTCTGTGTCATTCATTTATTCTCGATCATTTTTTTCATTTCCTTTATCTATGAAGAAATGTTGATGGGTCTCGGCGCTATTCCAGTATACCGACCCCAAAAATTAAAAGT